AATTTATAGCCATGTACTGCATTTAGCCATATGACTAGAGATGGCATTACATGATTGAATAAGAACTGAGGAAATTCTAGTCCTCCATTAGTTGTATAAGAATTGAGATTCTTAAGTCTCTCACTTGACCTCACAAAGATTGGTGACATGAAATATCACGTTGATATTGATCTTTGCTCCTTAATGAAAATCTTGGATTTATGATAAATAACAAAATACAATTGAAATATTGTAAGTAGATAGACAAGATAGATGTTTATAATAAAAATGTCAATTTCTTTGTAAAATATCAAATTTTACATGCATTAGATATCTAAACGAAAATAAAAATAAAATAATTATTATATGTTTGGAATCTTGTTTTCAGCTTTTTTGTTGTTGATGCACTTCTTTCCATTTGTCAAAGCCTATGTAACAAGAGTTCTGTATTTGTGATATATAAGAGGAAACTTTTCTATTTCTCTAAGATGGAAAAACAAAATATCAAGTGGTTAGAGGCTCGTGCTGATAACATAACGTGTTATAACTAAGGGAATTAGTAGAGAGAAATGAGGAGTAGGAAGACAATAGAAATTAGTCTCTAAACTTGTTCCATTCATCTTTGATAAGCACCTATTTATAGGCTTACAACTATAGGTACTTAACCCACAAATTATAGCTACTAATTACAACACTAAGAACATAAGTTACAAACATGAAAGATGGAGATAATGGGTGTTACGGTGGTCATCTACATTCTCATATATTTATAACATAAATGAAATAGTTCTATTATTAGTATTGCTTCGATTACCTTCGATTTTGATAAAATTCTTTTTTCTACTTTAAATTTTTTTTTGACATAGCTACTCATTTTACGATATCAAAAATTTGAAAGTTAATATCTAAAATTTAAGCTAAAAACTTGTGCTTAATGAAAATTTGACATCAATAGAATAACTCAACTCATTATAAATTGTCTCTTTATCATGTATTAGATGGTTGACACACATCATATTTGTATAAACATAACATATATATGTAAAGAACTTATAACTCAAATAGTTAATATATACTTAGATACTTAACATGTATGTATGTAGACTAAATCATGTGCTAGCTCTAATTATGTTGTTTAGAGCTGAGCTACTATGTGAATTATGAAAATGTGATTCTTCCACTCCCTTCCCTACAAGTCTACCATCATTCACTAAGCTTTCAATTCATGGCCATCACAATTGCAATAACCCTATCCTAAATTAATAGTTAATTATTAATTTATTCTAGTAAAAGACTAGTATACCTCCTAGAATATTTTAATGGTTTAAAAGTTAACTTTTTATTCGGGAAGGAATTTGGGGATTTCAGTTACACCGTTGCGTAAAGCGCAGCGAGATGAGTTCATAGACACATAGTGGGCTCAAATTCGAGTTGTACTGAGGGAGATACGATCAATTTACGTTGAGGGGCAAAATAGTAATTTGTCAGGTCATATATTTTAAAACTGACTTCTCTCTCTCTCTCTCTTTCCCCCCCGGTGCGACCCAGCCCCTCCCCTATTCTCAGTTCAGCCGGTGACTTTCAAGAGCCACCGCCGCCACCACAGGCCATAGTCGGCCACGAGACCGC